TGAAGGTGAGGCTAAGGAATCAGGGCTTTACCATAGAAGCAGAGAGGAACCCTGAGGGATTGGCCTTTGAGGAGTGACATGGTGAGAACTTTGGGGACAAAGGGCAAAGCAATGACCCCAGGCTCAAGAGGAGATGATAGGGCAGAAGCATCATGGAGGAATAGACAGAGAAGCCTTGCAAACTTGTCACAAACTATAAAGCTAGAACGGCCAGGTAGCTCCAGTTTGGAGATATGCCTGGTCACAGCAAGAGCACCCTCAGACTAAACTTTAAAATAAAATTGCAGTGAGGTTCCTAAAGGTCTAGATGGCCCTAGCATGTAGAGATGACTTCTTGCTGACAGAGCCAGTTTCCAATCATAGCAAGAGTTACATTCCCTAACTGCATATGCCATGTGACCTCTGTTTGGTGCAGCACATGGGGCATCCTTGTAAAAGCCAGAGTCCCTTTCTTTACATACAAGTTTTAAACTGTAGAATATTAAGCAACCCCAGATGTGGCCAAAGATGTCCATTCCGAATTGAAATTCAAAACTTCCTGAGGTCTGGCTACCAAGAAAAAGTACAAAGTACAAAGATGTTTGTTGAATGAAACACAGATGTCCACTACTTTAACCAGACTTTACTTTGAAGATCATGCTCTTGGCACCAATTTGAATATTTCAAATATGCTTTCCCCTGAAGTCTACCTCTCTTGCTTCAATAGAAGGAAATGCATCAATAACAAACCCCTTCTCTCTACCCATCGGTGTCACCCTTACATGTCTTCATAAGAGTGACACAAGTGATCTTTCCTGGCAGGACATTCAACTGCTTGACTCCTCAAGAGTTCACCTGGCATGGTGGGAAGAGGCAGCCCAAATGTGTCTCGCTCTCTGCCGGGTAGAATTTATGCCCTGTAGTTTTTCTCAACTGGGGATACCACCAGCATTCTAGCCAGAGTAGTAGTGTATGTACATACACATAGCATGAAAATGCTGCACTTACTTACATTTCTTAACCACATCCCTCTAAATGCTAGCAGCAGTTACTGGGAAAGCTGTCCCCACGCCTGACTCCCCCTAGGTTGTGATACTACTTCCGGTGGAGAACAATTGCAGTATTCACCCATGATGTTCTTCTCTATAAATATTCTGTTTTTCTACCTGACAAAAATAATTACTGTGCATACTTGTTCATCTGATATGGCATAAAGAAACCATCTTTTTTTTTCTAAAGGAGCACTATGTCAAACAAACCTTAAATGTTCTATTACTTGTTGCTGTTTTTCAGTAGCAAATCACCAAGCTCCATGACAAAGAAACTGTGGCTATCCCTAAGGATTTAAAAGGCTGATATGGTATTTTTTTTCCCTTGGAGAATTTAAAAATGAATTATAGTACAAAATTTGGAGGCTATTATGTATAACTCTAATGCACTAATATAAACATTTAGAATATTAAAAATCAGAAAGTCTAGAACTGAAAGTGAGATTTTTCTTATAAAAGCTGGAACAAAGAGGTTCTATAAAATCAAGGCCAAAAATCCAGAGTAGCAAAACAAAGAATCTCAAAACAAAGATTAGACAAAAGAATCACTGATGATGAATTAATCATAGGGGTGAGGGCTGGGGGTTTAAGTGTGTGTTTAACATGTCTGAGGCCCTGGGTTCGATCACTGTATGACAAAAAAAATTAATAAATAATAATAATAGAAATGTCACCTGTATGATCAAAAAATTAATAAATAATAATAATAGAAATGAAAGAAAATTTGCCTTTTTGAACTCTACCTCCATACTTGGGAAATGATTAAAGTACTTTGTACTTGTAAATGTACTTTAATTCCAAGTCTTCAAGGGCTAACTAATATTTAGAGAGAATGTACTTACTAAGTTATATTAAACAGATAGTTAACAATAAACCTCTCTGTATCATAAGTCCTTTTGTTTTTAAGGAAAAAAAAAAATCCAATCCTCCCAAATCCCAAAATATGCCCAAGGGTATCTGCAGGAGTAATTGCAACAACTAGCAAATACTGGCAGAACATTCCAGTGCTTGAATTCAGCAAATCCTTAGGAAGCATGCTCAGACAGATGGCACTTAAAAAAAAACAAAACCACTGCATTCAGATGTATAGGAAGCTTTTTCACTTACTTCAAATTTCTGTGAAATCCTTGTTCCTCTAAGCGAAAGGGGACGGGGAAATCACACTGCAATTCCTTATTTTTTTTTTTTAATTGAAAAAAGAAACACGCTATATCCTCTAATCTGACTTTGGATGTCCTTGAGTAATTTCTTTTGAGTCTCTATTCCATGAAAACTACTTTCAAATGCTAAACAAAAAGTAAAATATCCAAAGTTAGCCCAAGTAACGCTGTACAAAAAATCAAATATCACAATGTAAACAAGGCAACTGCATCTATCAGAAGCGATGATTCAGAAGAGGATAAATTTAGAACGGTGCTTTCCAAAAGGCGTTTGGATGTCAGATTCAGGAAATAGGTGAAGGCTACATCCCAAAAGTATCTCTGAAGAAAGAACTCCAAAATATTAATAAAAAGAGTCTTCTTTTTGAAGTTTTCAGTCCCCTGGTGTCCTCGAGGCTGTGCTTTCCCAATCTGGCCTTGGTGGTGCCATCCATTACTAGGTAAATCCACGTGAAACCTGAGGACTCGCCGGCCTGAGGACGTGGTCAGAGGCAGTGTGGCAATTCCACATGGGACGGGCCTTTTATGGCCTGAACTCCAGAGCCTTGATACAGCTAATAGACCAGAAATAGCTCTTGAAACTCAGAGGAGCCCATCAGCTGTTGCCACAGCCCTGGCCAGCAGCCACTTCAAGTGCAACTCAATTGTCCACATTGTCTTTCAGCAGGTTTTATAGAGAAATTAGAAACACAACAGCAGTCTACTCAATAGGCTACAGCAATACGGAATTGGAGGGGCAAATAAGTCTCTAACTCTGGTTTTTAGATTAAAGGAAAAGAACATACCATCTTTCATAAAGTCAGATACTAAAATCCCCCAAATTAAGCATATCTCCCTCTCTTTCTCTCTGTGTGTACATATATATAAATGTATTTGTATATTAAACAGCATGCCATAGTGGCATGTCTCTTTACAATTATGTAGATCCCTATGTATTTCTTACCACTTCCAATAATTGTAGAAAAAATTAATCATCATAAGAAACAATTGTGCTGCAAGGACTATCTTTAGAACAAGACAAATATTTTGTCCTGAAACCAAAGTCAGCCCTCTGAACTGGCAAGAACCTATCTTCTGATGGCTCCTGGGCTACTTATTTCACTTAAAAACCAGATGGACCTTAACTAATGAAAAAAAATGAGCAATGACTCATAACCACTTCTTAAAAGGCCATTTACATTTTTTAAACGTTTAAACTAAACATTACAACTCCATTTACAAAAAAAAAAAAAAAATACTTACAATAGTAGATGTCCCTGTTGTTACCAAGAATAACAGAGAACTATTCTTAATTGTCTGTGCTAACTTCAGTATAAATCACAAACCTCATTAAGTCTAGGGCTGGAAGAAAGCTGTGTGCTGCGCAGGGCCTCCGGGTGGTATGCCTCTGAATGTCAGTGTTCCCAGACCACCAGCTGCAGCAGTCAGTGGAGGGAGGCCTCACAAGGCAGGGTCTGAATTCCTGTTACTAATTAACCCTCAAGACAATGCCTATCCCTAAACAGACCTTCCCAGGGCCAGGTGAAAAGATGATACTGTATGGAATATTTCAAGATAGTCAGATGAGAGGATTTTGAATGTTCTCACCACAAAGAAATGCTTAATGTTTCAGATGATAGACTAACTAAATATCCTGATTTGATCATTATACAATGCATGCATATATTGACATATCACATAGTACCCCATAAATATGCATAATAGGCATGTGCCAATTTAAAAAAAAAAGATGAAAGAATACATGGACAGACCGACCTGACACTTAGAAACAGGCTCTATGACTATTGTGTGCAAGGTTTAAAAACAATTTGCCCAAGCCAAGTTTTTTTATCCACTTCAAGATGACAGATAAAATCTCACTGCATGACTTTTGCATCATAATCTCATTCCTGTCCCTCATCTTGTTTTCCCTGTGACCCAGTTTGGCTTTTCTCTCATTTTTAAAGTTTATTTTATCTTATTTTATGTATTTATGTGAGCTGCTTGAAACTCCTTCTGCAGCAAAGTTGGGTGAAAATAAAAACTTATGTAAAACAGTTAACTATCTGGGAAGACAGGAGGACCATAATGAATCACTGTTACCACAATAATGCAGTTTGCTTTTCCTAAAAAAGATTTGCTGCCACAAAATAAACATCTAACTCTTGTACGCCTGTTAAGTTGTTGCTCACTGCTTCCCTGGAGCAGCCAAACTGTCCTAGATTAACATGCACTGGAGTCTAACAGGGCGATTCTTCTTAGTTACTTCTTTTATAAAGCCTTTTTATCTCTGATCATTTGAATTCCAGCTAATTCTAACTTTGCAATGCATTTAAACACTTTCCAATTTTTTTCCTATCTGCCTGACTCAGAAAACCCCATCACACCCACTTCTTTCCACAAAAATGACATAAGAAACAGAAAATCATACATTGTGAATTAAAATTACAAATAAGAACTAGACTTATACTAGACACAGACATCCAAAATACCTGACAACTATTTTTTATTTGCTATTATTTAATACTACTAATATAACAGTGTTGCAGTCTACTATTTCCTCTAGTAACTCTTCATTATATCCCCATTACTATTAATTCTAACAGTGACTACTGTGGGCTGATCTAAGAAGCATAGCTATTTATGATTTAGGGTCTAAGAGTCATTCATTCTTATTTCTATGATAACTATCTATACCAACAATGAAGATATGAAAACAGAAATTAAAAACATATATTAAAATAGGGTAGAAATTATAATATAATTATATTGTTATAATATATCATATAATATGTTGTATAATCATGTATTATTTGTTATATTTAAGTTTTTATAGGTGTTTCACATCTGGAATGATGGGACAAAATAGGTTGACAAAGGGATAGATACATAACAGGTGACGGTAAGAATAAAGAACCCAAGGCTGGGGCTGGGGCTCAGTGGCAGAGTAATTGCCTCACAGGTGTGAGGCACTGGGTTCGATCCTCAGCACCACATAAAAATAAAAAACAAATAAAATAAAGGCATGCTGTCCATCTACAACTACAAAAAAAATTTAAAAATAAAGAACAAAAAACCCAGAAAAAAGTCCATGCAAATATGCCCAACTGATTTTCTTCCCTTTCAATAAATAGTGCTAGAGCAACTGGACATCCACAGACAAAAACAACATATAAAAAGGAACCTCAATTTATCCCTCACTGTGGCACATCCATTCCATGAATACTACTTAGCCATATAAAAGAATAAACTATTGATTTAGGCAATGACCTGGATAAACATACAAGGAATTATGTTGAATGAAAGAAAGCCAAAGAAAGCCAAATGTTAGCTGTCAAATTATTCCATTTAGGTAAGATTACCCAGATGTTAACATTATAGGAATAGAGAAGACAGAGGTCATCAGAGGTTAGGGATAAGGGTAAAATGGCTATAACAGGGCCACCTAAGGGATACTTATGAAATGTCCTAATGCTCTGTTGACTCTGTCAATGTCGACATCCTGGTGGTGATATTATTCCACAGTTTTTCAAGATGTTGCCACTGGGAGTGGCGAGTGAGTGAAGGTACACATGAAATTTCTCTATTATTTCTTACAACTGTATTTAAATCTGTAAGTATCTCAAAATTCTTGAACACTGCCCCCCAAATCCCAGAACAAACCCACTTCAAATGAAACTTCCAAATACAATCAATTTGTACATGGGTTACTTACTGTAATTATGCTTTAGATAAGTCTATATGGATTCACCTATTATCAGCGTCATCTTAAAATTTAAAATTGGAAATATTTATTTTGCTCTCCCACAATAAAAATAATTGATCCCAAATAAAGTATTTGATATAGAATAAGAAATGGGAAGCATTACTTTTTAAGTGAATACGTTTCTTCCGCAGGTGCTATAGTCTAGATGTTGAATGTCCCCAAAGGCCCATTCATCAAAGGCTTGGTTCCTAGGGCAGTATTACTACTGGACCTTTAAGAGGTGGGGACTTATGGGGAGTCCTGAGGTCACTGAGGGTGTGTCCTGGAAGGGGACTGTGGGACTGGCCATCCTCTTTCTCTTTTGTTTCCCAGCCATGATGTGAGTGGCTTGCTCTGCTATATGCTCCTGCTCCTGCCATGAGGTTCCACCCTGGCCAGAAGCAAGGACACCTCACAGGAACTTGACATACATGACAAATAACACTCCACTCACAATCTACTGTGAAAACTGATCCTGTTTTCCTGACAGACCACAACAACTTGGCTACCCTATACAGAAACCAGGGCTACTGTTCTCTGGAGTTTTGTTATTTAAACCTCCGCTCAGTCATCAACAAGTCCTGTCGCCTGAACACTTGCCCTCCTCTTCTTCCACTTCCTGTTCATGGCTCAAGTTGGGATTGCCACTGGAGACTCCAAGCTAGCCTTCCTTTCCTGGCCACCACCTCCCCTAACCATCCCTTCCACTGCTTCCAGAATGGCCTGTAATTATCCAAAGTCTGGTTTTGCATCCCTCCCAGCTGCGGCTCTTAAGCATGGTTCCATCAGGAGCCGCCTCCCGTGTGCAGCTAGGTAACCATTATTTTTCACTGATGGCAGCTGTTTGACAATGTTTTTGAATTAAGTTTTCCAAAGGGCAAATGTGAAGATATTCTTGTAAAAGCATCACAGTGATCCTTTAGCATTTAGATAATCATTAGAAGAAAGAAAAAGGAACGCAGTTACAAATAAATATTCTGGGCTAGGATATAGCTCAGTTGGTAGAGTGCTTGCCTTGCATGCAAAAGGACTCTGGGTTCAATCCCCAGCACCATATAGACACACAAAAAAATTGGCAAATCTTACTGTATGTTAATTGTACCTCAATAAAACTGACACAAAAAATGTTTTTTAAAAAAACCAAATATCTGGAAATCATACTTTACCCAGAGATTATCTCATATACACTAAGATCTGTGATGATTTTTTTCTTGGGGTATATTCCTACCTAATTCTTGTGAAGTTTATAAGGAATTGCAACGCCTTGCTTTATTACCAATCTTCCATTTAGATCAATCTAGAAGGTGTATGACATTTGTGGATATCATCCAGCAGACTCCTATTGGTGGAAAAAAAAATGTGGATGATCTGCTGGATAAATTACAAAGTCATTAGCCTCTGTGACTTGTCCCTGTCCCACCTACTTCTTCAGTAGTACGTCAGGCCATCCTCCCAGCAGATGATCTGCACCCTACGTACATGGAGCAGCCTTGCTGTGTCTGGGCTGTTCTTTCTGTGGAGAATACACTTCCTTTCTTCTCACTTAAACAAACCCTAATCATCCTTCAAGACTCTTCTGACTGTATTTCTCCTATAAATCCTTTCCTGATCTCTAGACTTCTGACCTCTATTATCTCTTTATGGGCCCAGAAGCAAGCAACAACTGTCACTCCATGATGTAACAAATGTTTGTGATGTGAAGACACTTGTGGTTGGAGGTCTTTTTCTCATTTTAATTCAGCTAAAATATTCTC